AAAGGAAAGAAGCCAGGCACAATGGCTCACATCTGCAATTCTAACTACTGGGACAGGAGATGGAGAGGCTTAAGGTTGGCTTCGAGGCTAGCACAGGCAAAAGAGTTCTCGAGAACTCATCTCGATCAAAAGCTGGGTGTGGTGGCATGTGCCTGTCATCCCAGCTACGAGTAATGTATAAATAGAAGGATCATGGTTCAAGCCAGCCTGGGCATAAATGCAAGACCCTATCTAAAAATAACCAAAATAGACTGGAAGTGGCTCCTCTGAGTTCAAACCCCAGTACAACCAAAAGAAAAAAAAAAAAAAAAAAGCCAAAGCAAAAAAAGCTTGGGGGTATGGCCTGAGTTCAAACCCAATTACTACCAAAAAAAAAAGGGGGGGGAGAAAGGAACAATCTATCTGTACTTTCTCACCTTTTAACACTCCTTGCAATTTCTGCTAAAAGCTAGACAGATGTGCTGGGTGAAGGAGCTGCAATAAGCAGGCCTCAGTAAAGTACTCAGATGTCAGAGTGATAATGGTTCACAGCACTATGAGTAGATCTCAGTCTGGTACCTTTGCTCCGTATTTCCCCACATATGTGGGACAGGATTGTATACAGGGCTGGGGTTGGACAGTTCCCATTTTTCAAGTCAGTTAGGTTGTGGGAAAATCATTTCTCACAAAGGCAGTCTTGTAGGAAGAACAGAGTGGTTTAGCAGATTTCAAAATGGTCTCTTTTCCCTTCCCTCTGCCAGAAGCAGGAAGGGATTTTCCCTGATATTCACTGTGAGGTCTTGGTTGAGCTTCTGGATATAACACTTACAAAATTGTGAACGCTACGACTGGGTCTCCCTGGAGTTTTTAACTCAGCCTTGTCCACACTGACCCACCATCAATTTGTCAATCATAGTTCAGATTCCTGACCTTGCACTGGTTCCCTTGGAGGTTCCTGTTCATAAATTATGATTCTTTGTGTCTGCCTGCCCAACTTTCAAGGCAATGGTTTGCCCATGCCCTCAGTTCTCTGACAGATCTAAGCGCTGTTCATTTTTCAGTATGTTGTTCGGACATAGTGGCTCTAAAGGTTGAACTCAAGGCCTCATGCTTGCTAGGCAGGCTCTGTACAACATGAACCATATTACCATGTTGGTTATTTTTGAGACAGGGTCTTGCTTTATGCCCGAGTCAGCCTGGATCCCAATTCTCCTATCTGTACTTCCCTGTGTAGCTGGGATAACAAGCTACACCATGCCCAGCCATTGTTGAGATGGGGTACTGCAAACTTTTTGCCCAAACTGCCTTGAACCATGGTAATCCAGATCTCCACCTCCTGTGTTTCTGGGATTACAGGCTAGAGCCACTATTTTGGTCTTTCCTTTTAATTTTGTTTAAACCATATGCAGATGGCCCCCAACTGTTAGTCAGCTTTCCAATACTATGACAAAATACCCAAGATAATCAACTTAAAAAGAGGAAAGGTTTATTTTGACTCATGGTTTCAGAAGTTGCAGTCCACAGTTGCTTGGCCCTGTTGCTTCAGGCCTGTGGCAGAGCAGTACATCACATCAAAAGTGTGTGAGAAGACCTGATCACTTTATGGCAGCCAGATACTAGGAAGGGATACAGGAAGGGTCGGAATCCCAACATCCCCTTCAAGGCAACCCCCAGTGACCTAACTTCCTTCAACTAGGACCCACCTCCTAAAAGTTCTACCAAATCTAACAGTGCCTCAATACAGCCTTTTACACATGGGCTTTTGGGGGACATTTCAGATTCAAACTACAACTCTGACTCACCATGGATCAAGTTCAACTTTATGATGTGCAAAAGTGACATGCATTTAATAGAAATCATACTTCAGAATTTGAATCTTGATGTTTTCCCAGGCTAGGTAGTACATTCCTCCCTTGCAATGTTGAGTGGTGGTAGCCTCCCAGTCAGTCACAAGATCACAAGCAGAAGCAATGTACTCCACAATGGGCTTTTACTAACTCAGGATGTTAAGTAGGTTAGGTCTAATAAATGCATTTTCAACTTATATTTTCAATTTAAAATGGATTATCAGAACATAATCACAGTGTAAATTATGGGGCATCTGTAACTGCTTAAAACTAAAATTGTAATATTGTATTGTGAGGTTTAAAGATGTATATACATGTATTACATGTTACTTTAACATAAAGGATGGAAGGGATGATTACAAGATTTATAATGAATGAGTACATAAACAGCAAGAAAGAGGAACAAAGGAAATGTTTTTAAAAAGCAGAGATACATATTGAATAAAAAACAAAATACTATCCACAAGTGCCGTTCTGAACCACATAAAAATTACATTAGGCCAGGTGCTGATAATCCTTAGTTACTCAGGAGGCAGAGATCAGGAAGATCATGGTTTGAAGCCAGCCTGGGCAAACAGTTCCTCGAGACCCTATCTTGAAAAACCCTTCACAAAAATAGGGCTGGTGGAGTGGCTCATGGTGAAGGCCCTGAATTCAAACCCCAGTACCAAAAAAAAAAAAATTACATTAAACATTTAATAGAATAATCACTATAATTAAAAGACATGGATTGTCAGGATGGATATAAAATGAGACCCAGGTGGCTGGGACATGGCTTAAGTGATATACTGCCTGCCTGTGGTGGTAATGCCTGAAATTCCAGGACTCCAGAGGCTGAAGCAGGAGGATCAAGAGTTCAAGGCCAGCCTGGGCCACATAGGAAGACCCTGTCTCAAAAACAAAGCAAAACAAAACAAAACAGAAAATGAGACCATATTGCTATCTGGAAGAGATTTACTTTAAGCATAAAGGTTGAAATTAAATGGATGAAAAAAAAAAAAACTATCCTATAATAACAGTAAGAATAAAAAGACTAGAGTTGCTATGTTAGTATTAGATAAAATATATCTCAAAACAAAATGTATTACCAGAGGTAAAGATGGATCCTCTTTTTTCTGACAATGATAATCATAAATGAGAACAAGCTCAACAAGTTTCAAAATACATGAAGCAGACACTGAAAAAAGTAAAAGAAGGAAAAGATAATTCACAATCATCCTTGTATATTTTAACATCCTTCCCTTAGGAAATGAAAGAATAACTAGACAGAAAATTAGCAAAATGCTGGGGAAGATCTGGACCACAGCATCAACCACCTTGACTTAACAGATATTTATACAACCCTATAATGGCAGAACACTCAGCCTTTTTATGTGAACATGGTATGCTTACCAAGGGATGCTGTGGCTATAATAACTACAGTCAGCAATTACAAGAATTAAATATGATGGGTACCCATGATTAACATCTGTAATCCTAGCTATCTAGGAGGCTAAGATTGGAAGGATGGAGGTTCAAGGCCAGCCCAGGCAAAAAATTATAGGGAATGGATCTGGAAAGCTTCAAAAGTGCCTACATCTAGCTGGGCACCAGTGGCTCAGGCCTGTAATCCTAGGTACTTGGGAAGCAGAGATTAGGAGGATAGAGGTTCAAGGCTAGCCTGAGCAAACAGTTTATGAGAGCCCATGTCTGAAAGAACCAGAGCAAAATAGACTGGGGTGGCTTAAGTGGTAGAGCACCTGCTTTGCAAGCATGAAGCCTTCAGTTCAAACTCCCCAGTCTCACCCGAAAAAAAAAAAAAAAGAGCATGTTCTATAACCACAGTGGAATTACATAATAAATTAACAAGAAGGTGACTAGGAAAACACTATTTGTAAATTAATTCATGTACAAATAATCATTGAGTCAAAGAAATCACAAGAAAAATTAGATAGTATTTTTAACTATATGATAATGAAAACAGAACATATTAAAAATTTGTGACATGTACCTAAGGCTTTGCTTTAAGAAAGCCTTATAACTATAAAATGTCTATGATAAGAAATATCACAAGTCAATAACCTTTGGAAACAAAAGGCCTCCAACAGCCAATTTTAATGTTCATAAATTTGGGGTACATTAATTACAAGAGCTTTCCTGAGTAAACTACTAGAAGACAAGCTTCAGACAGCAGAGATGATGGTGGGGAAGTTTTTGGTAAAGGAACTGACATCTACCTAAAGGGTAAACAAGTGATACACTTAACTGCAGAAATAAGACAACAGCAAAGATGGGGATAGGAGTGATGAAGTACTTAGGCTGATAGTGAGGAACAGTATACTCAACAAAACAGAGGGGAACAAGGAGGAAAGGGCAGGAAGCAGAACAAGGCTCAGTATCTGAGAGTCAAAATAATACTTAGAATTGGGTGTCAGTGGCTCACACCTGTAATCCTAGCTACTCAGGAGGCAGAGATCAGATAGGATCACAGTTTGAAGCCAGCCGGGCAAACAGTTCTGCAAGACCTTACCTCGAAAAAACCCTTCACAAAAAAGGGCTGGTGGAGTGGCTGAAGGTGCATGCCCTGAGTTCAAGTCTCAGTACCACAAAAAAAAAAGAAAGAAAGAAAATAATACTTAGAGCTGATGAATCAATTAGAGAAGTAGATTCAACAGAACAATTCTAAAAAGAATCCAGGTGTGGTGGCATGCATTTGTAGTTCCAGCTGCTCAGGAGACTGAGGCACTTGAGCCAGGATGATCACTTGAGCCAGGAGTTCAAGACCAACCTGGATACCAGCAAGACCCTGTCTCAAGGAAAAGAATAAGAGAATACTACTGACCAAAACTGAGGGTGAAGAGGTGAAGGATAAAAGGATAGGGATCCAGTAGCTACTGTCAAGAGGGCAAGAAGTATATTATATAGAAGAAGTATATTATAAAGGGAATGAAGGGGTGTAAAGATAATCCCTAGAACAAAACATAACATGACCAGAACTATATATATTTTTAAAGCAGAGCAAATGGACAGAAAGGGAAAACCTTTTAAACCAGGTGCATATGCTCAGGAGCATATAGGGGAGTGTACTGCCCCTGGAGAAGCTGAGTGAGCACCATCACCTTACCTACCTCACTACTTGCCCTCAAGGGTAGAGTGGGAGGCCATTCCTGGGACCAGCCTCCCGCCCAGGCTCACCTGTCCTGCAGCTTCTCAAGACTTCTGGTTCTTCAGCCCCCAGGAGATCCAGGACCCACAGCTCCTCCCCTTGCTCCAGCTGAGAGATCAGTTCTGGCTTAGGGACAGGGAGTCCTGTTGAGGATGAAGATTCTGGATAAGCTGGTGTGGCTTGGGGTGCTGGGGCAGAACTCTGGCCCATGGGTTTTCCATACCAGCTGAGGAGGGAAGTACCCTGTATGCATGGATGTACGGGGTAGGTTGAATGTGAGTGCTGAGGGAAAACTCTCTCAATAGTTCTCTGGGGTAGAGGGGACCACGGGGCCACTGGCAACAGAGAGCAAAGTCCCTAGAACTGGGCAGCAAGGCATGGGGAATGTTTCTTCGTCAGAGATCAGACTGGTACCTGGGGAAAGGGCAGCACAGTTTCTTTGGGATCGAAAGAGCCAAAGCAGCCTACAACCCCCTTAGAGACCTCCAAGTATAAACCAGGGCACCAGAGAAGTCCTCACCCAGCGAGGCCATATTCCCATAGTTCTCCAGCATCACGTCCCTGTAGAGTGCTCTCTGCTGGGGGCCCAACTGCTGCCCCTCCGCCCTGGAGAAATACACCGCCACGTCTTGGAAGGTCAACGGCATCTCGCCCTGGAACGATACCACACTGCGAGTGTGCCAGCTGGGCGAAGGCACGCTCTGGGGAGCTGGCTTCATGAAGGTCCAAGATGATCAGCCGACCTCAGCCAAGGGCACCAGCTGAGCCGCACTCCCGAGAGAGGGCATGGGTCGCCACTGCATCGCTGATCCCTTGGGGCTTTACCCGCTTCCTGGCTCACAGCCGTGGGGGAGACAGTTTCTGCCTAGGGCAGCACAGAAAGGGCCCTGCAGCCTAACTTGGCTCCTACGAAGCCCTGACCTAATGTCTCCCTACTTACTCTCCGAGAAGGGGACCCCCCCCCCGCCGCAGGGACCGCGGCTGGATGGTCAGGAGAAGGATGCAGACCTTGGTTCCTGGAGGGTACAGAAGTACCCGCCCCGAGCTCCTCCCCAAACCAGACAACAGCCCCAAGCACGGCGAAAGCGGGTAGCTCCAGCCGTGCACACCTGCCGGAGCCCCGGGGTTGGGACAGGCCGGCGGGCGGGAGGTTAGCGGGGTGGGCAGCGAGGGCCGGCAGTGGGCGAAGCCTGAAGCCCACTTCTTTCCAACCCGCGCCTCCCACGGCCACGCAGCGGCCCGCTGCTCCTAGGCCCCCGCGCGCTCCAGGGCCAGCCCCTAGACAGGGCCTCCACTTCTCTGGGCCGTCCCTCCTCCCTAGAGGCCACCAGAGCCCCAGGTCGGAACCTCCTCCGGGGTTTGTGGGAGGACCCGCCTGCCAGCAGGCCCCGATGCGCCGTCGAATCCGCACGTCACTTCCACCGTCTGAAGCCCTCCCTTCTCTCCGCCTAGTCGCGGCCGCCCCCGCCCACCCCCACTGCAGGCGGAGCCGCGGGAGGCCTCACCTCTGTGCCACCGGCAGGACAAGCCCCGCGTCTGGACGGAGCCTGCGCCCGCCGGCTGCGAGGAAGAGCGCGCAGACCCGCCAGGGGCGGGGCCAGAGGGAGGAGGGGCGGACACGGCTGAACTGCGCGCGCGCGGTCGCAGGGCACGGCCGGAAACAGGATGAAGCCCCGCCTCCGGGAGGCCCCACCTGCAAACTTTCGGGGCCGCTCTAGGATGTCTGGAGGACTGCACGGTCTGTAGTGGGAGGAATACGGACGGTGCGTGTCGCAGCTGGTTGCGTCCAGCCCTCGCGCCAAGAGTGACCACGGTCGCTCAGGGGTCTCTCGGGGCTAGGCCCGCCGGGATCCGTGTCGCATGTCCTCTCCTCTTCGTCACAGCCACACAGTGGCGCCTTCTGATGGCCGATAAAGCACGGGTTAAGGAATGTTTGGGCCGGGCACAGTGGTATTCGTTTGTAATCCCAGCACTCAGGAGGCTGAGGCAGGAGGATCTCGATTTCGAGACCAGTCTATCTACATAACAAGGCCTTGCCTCCAAAAAACAAAACAAAACCTACTATGCACTCGGTAAAATTGAAATGGCAGCGTTAGGAGGGATAAGGGAAGAAAAGACTGGATGAAACCAAGGATGAAATAGGCTGTACTCTGCTAGAATTCAGACACGAACTTCAGGTCTGAGAAAGTCCACGATTAAATAAGACCAAGCAGAGTTGTTACCTGAGGTGGAGGAGAGGTGAAGGGAAAATAAGGGAAAAGAACTGGGGCACTTAAGGAAAAGGAGGAGAGACACACCAAGAAAGAATCCGTGACCTTCACAAGCAGCAGGCCTTTATTGAGGGAGAGAGGCGTGAGAGGGGCCCTCAGAGTAGTATTCTGAGAGGGAGGAGAGCACAACTCTCTTAACAGTTTGGGGTTTTTAAGCACCCTGTGGTGGGAAAAAGGAGGTTGAAGGAGCTAGGATCATCTGGGCTGAGCAGCCTGATGTGTTGTTTTTTTGTGGCCTTCCTATCTGAGGTACCATATTTGCATTGTTTCAGTGTTTCTCAACATTCCAGCATTTCAGCCTCTTTGGGGTGGGGGCACCATTTGTCTTCTGACTACTTCTGGCTGGTCAGGGGCAACAAGGGGGCTTTGTTGTTGAGCTTGGAGAGTTTGTAGAAACATAATGGCTTGAATTGCTCCCCTGAGGTAGCCCGGGAGATGGCAATAATACATTCCTGTAAAGATTTTTGAAGAACATTAATGAGGCATGGAAGGAACATTAGGGTCAGACAAGCAAAGATCAGAGGGACTGCCAGCGGGATGAGCCATGGACACAAAGAAGAAAGAATATTAATAGGTTCTGAGGATGTTAGCTGTTGTGCCCCCTCTTGAGTTTCTTTATCCCGTCCCTAACTATGACAGACTTACTGGTTAAAAAACAACAATTCTCTCCCAAAAAAGACATAGCCTGCCTTTTTCAGCTTTAAGGAGATCTAGTCCTCTTCTGTTCTGTAGGACCACTGCCACTAATGAGTAGATCTGGTCTTGGATTGCAGAGATCTGTAAGGCAATATCGTTAAGGCTTTCTTTTAGGGCTTCTGACAGTTTACGGAACTGGATAATTGATACTCCTAGTCTGGCCGAACCTGTTCCAACTCCAGTGAGAAGACCCAGTCCCACCACCAAGGGGGTGAGACATATCTCTTTTGTATGTATGACGCTAACAACCGAAATGGGGATAATTTCTGTGTTAATGTTGTGCGATAAAGGAGGAATTAAGAAGACGAGTGTACAAACTCTGGTTCAGTTAGTAAGCAGGCATATATATATTTGCGACCCACATGGGAAGAAGATTCCTGTGGAGGGGGAGAGACATCCCATTAACTCAAAGGAAAGGAGGGGGTCTAGTCAATCTGCATTCTGCTCTCTCTCCCATGAGCAGAAGGAGACAGTGAGGGAGGCCATTAGAAGGAGCTGTAAGAGGGGAGAAGAGGCATTGGTTGGTGTGGGGGAACTTCATGATCAGCGGTTGGTTTGCCAGGTAGAGAAAGAGTTGGGAATGAGGTGTGACTGAGGTGCAGTTACTCTTGGAGAAGGGGTTTGGGTGTAGTCCCGGTATATTAAAGACTGGAATGGCACTAGGGTGGAGTCTCCCATTAGGAAAGTCTGAGATGGCTGTAGTGAAGTTGCCCTGGAGGGGAGGGAATGGGGTTGTGACAAAATGGATAGGTTGGGGGTCAAGAAGTAGGCATTTTGATGTGTTTGCACCCATCACTCCCTTGGTTAAGGAGTTTGAGTTGCCTGCGATGGGGGGTGGGAGAAGGGTCTCTGTGCACCAGGAGACATTAAGGGAGCCTATGGGCTGAGAATCTGGAAAGTGTGGTCTTTGTGAGCATAAAGGTGCTGTCCCCATAGAGGTCAGCCTGGGGTATAGAGCCTATAACAGGTGGAGGTGCTTTTGAAAGGGTGGAGTGTTGTGAGTTTCCCAGTAGGGGTGTTAGTAGGAGTCTTAAGTCAAATAAAGCCTACGAAGCAGATTCGGCATTATTGCTCCGAAAGCGGTGGTGAAGAACATAGTGCCCAGGTGAGTTGAGCTTTGATATGTGGACCCTCTTTTGGTGGGTCCAAGCCTGAAACACGAGAGAGCAGGACGGGGTTTAACCGCAGTGGAGGTTGTTAAAATAACCTATAGAGGACCCTTCCAAGGAGGTTATGGGGGGGGTGCTGGTCCCTTGTAATAAACCCATTCCCCAAATCTGAGCTGGATCAGGGTTTGAAGAAGCAGATGTGGGGTTTGGGAGGTGGGTGTTCAGGTGTGCCCATAGTATTCTCCTCATCTATGGTAGTCAAGAAAGCAGGGGAGGGGGAATGTTACAGGGTTTTATAGGAAGACCCAGTGTTACAAGAAGGCAGCCATACATGGCCTCAAAAGGGCTAGTTAGCAGAGGTTTTCAAGGGGAGAACGCTGGTACAAAGGAGAGTTAAAGGTAATAGTTTAATCCAGTCCATTTGGAGTTCTTGAGTAAGTTTGGTGAGTGTGTTTTCAGGGTGTGATTGGCCTTTTCCACTTTCCCTTAGGATTGTGGATCATATGTAATATGGAAATACTATCTTGACCCCACATAGGAGGCTAATTGTTGAACAATGGTAGAGGTGAATTCTGGCCTGTTATCTGATTGTAGTGTTGTGGGAAGACCAAAACGGGGAATGATTTCTCTATAGAGGCTACCATAGAGGCTCTTTTGTTAGTAGTGGGGAAATCTTCTATCCACCCTGTTAGATTGTCAATGAAAACTAGCAGATGCCTGGTACGCTTAACAGGGGGCATGTTGGCAAAGTCTACCTACCAGTCCAACCCAGACAAGTGACCTTTTGCCTGGTGGGTAGGAAAAGAAGGGGGTCGGACATTTGATAATGGATTGGTTTTGGAATATGTGGGGCAAGAGGATAAGATTTTCTTTAGTGTTCTGTGGATACTAGGGTGGGGGGCAATGATGTGGGTTTTAATAAAATGAAGCAAGGATAGATGGTTAGAATGAAAAATTCTATGAAGGATGGTTCATATGGGCTTTATTTGTTGTTCGGCAGGATGAGGGAGTCATTAAGAAACCAGTAACCCTGGTGTTGGTTGCTCCCTTGAGTTTTTAACAATTCCATTTCCTTTTCTATATAAACTTAGTGGACTAGCAGGATAATCTGGGGAGGGGTTTGTTGTGTTTGTGTTTGTACCACCTGTTTGATGGTGGTATCTGCTAAGTTATGGCTAATAGATATGAAAAGTGTTATCTCTTTGATGTCCCTTAAGTGGAGGATGGCAGCTTTGTGGGGGAAGGTGGCCACTTGTAAAAGGGCCATAATATGTTTTGCATTAGTTATTGGGGACCCCTTGGTTTTTAAGAAACCCTGATCCTTCCAGATCTGACTGTTGGAATGGATGATGTTATAAATGTATTTTGAGTCCTATAAATGTTACTCATCCTGTCTTTTGCCCTTTGTAATGCTCACGTAAGAGCATATAATTCTGCCTGTTGGGAGGTGGTTGTAGGAGGAAGACTGTTTGTCTCTATGATTGTGTATGTAGTACTATTTGGGTGCCCCTCGATTATTCTAGCTGCAGTGGTAGTGGAGGCCTTTGTAGAGCTGCCATACACAAACCAGGTGGGGGCATTGGGTATGGGGGTGTCTAAGATGTGATTAAAGGTTGGAAATGAATCACCAAGTATCTGAATGCAGTCATGGGCTAGAGGTGCTAGGTGAGGTGGGCTGTTTGAGGGTAAGAGGGTAGTGGGGTTTAATCTCTGATACTGCCAGAAAGTTAGATCAGGTTGTAGAAGAAAAGAATGTAAGATTCGAACACGAGATGGGGAGATGGAGTTGACAGCTTTATGACTAATTAAGTCCTGAATATTGTGAGATGACCAGACTGTCATAGGTAAGTTAAAAGTTATTTTTTGGGCTTCTGGTATTAAGAGAGCTGCTGTGGCCAATACTTTTAGGCAGGCTGGCCAACCCCTGTAAATGGGGTCTAATTGTTTTGAGAGATAGGCTATAGGAGACACCATGTCTCCTGCACTTTGGGCCACCAGGCCCAAGGCTTGGCTTTTATCTGAGTGTAGATATAGGTAAATAATTTTATTGGGATTTGGAATGGAAAGTGCAGGGGCCCTTGATAAAACTTGTTTGAGGAAAATAAACAGGGTTAAGAGGGCCCTGGGGCAAGGTAAAATCTCATTTAGGTCTCTTTTAGCAGCATTGTACAATGGTTTGGCTATTATTGAATAATTAGGGATCCAAATTCTAAAATACCCAGTTAATCCCAGAAAAGAAAGAATGTCCCTTTTTGTCTTGGGAAGAGGGATTTGGAGTATGGCAGTTTTTCTGTTTTGGGGAATTTGATAATATCCCAGAGTTAATAA